ACCCCTGCCATGGTTAAATTTATGTTGGCACTTTAAGTTGGTATGTTGGAATAATGTTGGTATATGTTATATATATGTGTTATTTATATGGGGGTCATTGCCTTTTATATTAACAGAAGGATTCGGATGCGAGGGCGGAGTATGGGGGGCAATGACCCATGTTTATTTGTTAAATTATTACTATTATTATGTTATATTGAATATATGGTTATTATTATTCAGATTGTTTAATAAAGCTGTGGACAAATTTTCCCATATACCCGAGTGTCAGTGCATTATTGGGTTAGGTATGTGGGAGGGTTGTCCTGGAGTCCGACTGCCCATATGGCGACTATACACCGGTCATGGCATTTTCATTTATTTTTTAATTGCATACTTTACATGTGTGGAGTAATGTGCGCCCGGCGTCATCGCCAAGGAAACTCGCGATGTTTGTGCGTGCGGGAGGATATCCTGGAAAGATGGGAGCAGCAGAAACCTGAAATTAATTGTTTTATTCTTACTTTATTTGGTCTCCACTTAGCGGGCACAAGGGGGGGCTGAATATATCTGTACACGCAGGAACCTGAGACGTATCCGTGGAGATGACGGCACATTGTAACTCATTGTCTGCTCTGTCAATCGCTTTTTGCCATTTAGTACAATTCATTGCTTAGTGAAATAAATTCCCCCCCGTGATTTGGTTACAGTAACTCATAAAGTATGAATTATCAGGAGTTCACATGGGGATTTTAATCTGAAGACAAATTAGTCAAATTTGAAGAATTCTCAAAGTCTGCAGTGTTTGCACAGGTTCAATTTTGGCAAAATAAATCCATCCCTCATCCTTCTGAGGTCAATAACATGTCTTCCATAAAGATGGGTAATAACATCTGGACCCCAGAATTCTAGAGCCAGATAACAGCACCTATCGCGGTCAAATAGTTTGCCGCTATTATCTGGTTACAGTGACTTTCCCTATAATAATGTAATGTATAAAATCTGTAGACAGCGGTGTCACATGAGGGAATCGGCCAATCAGATTTATTGTGTTTAAATTCAGGACCCTCATTTATAATATGTGTTGCTAGGATAGTCGTGTCTCCAGGTGATAATACTCTGTGTATGTAATATGTGTTGCTAGGATAGTTGTGTCTCCAGGTGATAATACTCTGTATATGTAATATGTGTTGCTAGGATAGTCGTGTCTCCAAGTGATAATACATTTTATTTTCCAGAATTTTCATCCCTCCTCTTACTCCCCACTTTATGTCTTTGCATCTTTGAAATGTCACATTAATAAAAACTAATATTGTTTATATAATGCTTAAAGCGTCCCAGGCGTCCATGTCATGCTCGGGAGGAATCAGTGACCATTTTTGTTTAAAACATAGCATTTTAGCTGTTTCGCTTACAGTTTCTGTAGAACATGTTGTTGATGTTTCTGATCGCCCCAGTTAGTGTAAGTTTATATATAGTGGACTGTGGGTCGGGACGGTGTAGAGATGATTATTTTGTTTTCTGTACTTTTTTTTTCTTACGCATGAAATGAGGTATCCCACGGGACAGCCAGGAGCCTGAGGTTTCCCCACCTGAGTCTGTCTTGGGACGGAGCCCATAACGAGGGGAAACGAAAAATAATATTCAGCAGCCAAGAATATCAAGCAGAGCCTCAGTGTTAAATAGCCTGGCTGGTCCCACCCCACACACTGTCTGCTCTCCAAGTGGGTCGATACATTGCATTCCTGTACACAGAGTATTCATCAGGTGCCTGTGACAAGGCTCACGTTATACACTCCAGGAAAATGTCACTTTATTGCACAATCGCTGAGACAGTGCACACCGCTCTTTAACCCCTTACATGCAGAGCATTCGTTACATGGCAGACGGGGAGATATCCAGGCTGGGCCTGGGACTTCTAATGCCCACAGCGAACGGCGACAATAGACCACTTTACGAGTATATTCCTCCTCATTCTGCCACCTGGTGCGAAACAAAGTTTGCCATATCAGGTATAGCCCACATTATACGCAACCCCATGTTTGCTTTTAGTATCAATATTAAATATATAAAAGATCCCTGCACTATTTATACACTACATTTTATTTCAATTAAAGGGTGGCGTACCATAACCACCTTCCATTACGTCACAGTGCACCCTGCATCTATTCTCTGTTCTGACATACACGACGTGGGCTAACCAGCCGCAGGAATGCTCACACACGGTGAGTGGGTCTCGGGCAGGTAGCTATCTGCTTATTGAGCCGGTTCTGTCATCCTGTGTGATGACAAGGAGGACAAAGTAAGACTGGCAGACATCCTGATTGGTGGAACCTCTTCCTGGTGTGGGAGGAGGAGTTTCAGGATTTTAAAAGGAACGTTTTTGTTTTTTTTAATCCTTAATTTTAACACATTATATATTGAATCCTTTTACTTCATTTTTTTTTCCTTTTAATTCACTTTATCCCATTGTCTTGTTTCGCTTCCCTGAAACCCCCACAATGGCACCCTCCTATTTCAGCTCTGCGCATACATCAGTTTCCATAGAACATTGAAAAATCCCCATCCAGTGCACAGCGAGCAGGTCAGGTCTGGAAACACATTTCGGTTTGTCATTTATGATTTTTGTTTATCGGCATCATTCACCAACTCTACGGCCATCAATTATAGTTTCAGCCCCATCGCCAAGGGCAGCGGTATGGCATGATACCAACGATGTGTTAATTCTGGATGTCACTACAAGACCTCTTAGCAGCTTGGCAGATACTAAGAACGCTATTAAAATAATGAGAAGATACAATTTCACTGCGTCATACTGCGCTCTACAATAGCAACGTCCTGTATACCATGACAGCGAAATTCCGCTGGTATTGAACCAACGCCCGTCTAAACATTGCTCTCTGAAAAACTCGGAGTCTATTTTTATTTTGGCTTTCTATGTACATTCAACAGCTTTATATCAGTCTTGTATTGCTGCATTGATCTGTTCATTTTATTTTACAATGAATTAATCCAAAGAGGCATCCAATGTTTGACAACTCCCATCGTTTTTGGCACAGCCATACACTCGCAAAGTATTATGGAGGCCGAGGAACCTCACTTTGACTTGTCTGTGTTTTTTTTTTATAATGTGTTTCTTAGAATATATTTTCACAGTTTTGTCTGGGACTTCTCATTTTTTATATTTCCAAAGTATTCCCTGTGCTAAATATAATCATAACTTTTGTTTGCTTTGTTATTGTTAACGTTTCGGCATCTTTTTGTCAGATAAAACACAATAACTGCCTCAAGCATTCCATTCTTTATACATGCGCATTTTGAGGCGATCTGTACTTTTTTTTTTTCCTTTTAAGAAATACTTTGATCATTTTGCAATAGATTTTTAGAGTTTTATTTGAAAATGCAGTGAAATGCAATGAAATTATGGACCAAGCAGGGTTGGGGGGAAATGTCTATGAATTCTCCACCTACGGACAACTAATGTGTAAAATCCAGCCGTATATTTTTCTTTGTACTTTTGCTTATTCCTGACAATTCTAGCATTAGTCAGATTGTGGCAGGTTCATCTTCTAGGAACTCAAGATAAAAAGATGGCGGCACTCTTCAGGTGGGATACTTCTCCACAAGGGACAGGTCCACATTAATTCCACCACAAGGGTCAGGTCCACCTTAAGTCCAGCACAATGGACAGGTCCACCTTAAGTCCAGCACAATGGGCAGGTCCACATTAAGTCCAGCACAATGGGCAGGTCCACCTTAAGTCCACCATAAGGGACAGTCCACCTTAAGTACACCAAAAAGGGTCCAAACAAGGGACAGGCCCACCTTAAGTCCACCACAAGGGACAGGTCCACCTTAAGTCCACCAAAAGGGTCCAAACATGGGGCAGGTCCACCTTAAGTCCACCACAAGGGACAGGTCAACCTTAAGTCCACCACGAGTGATATGTTGACAAAAAGTAACAAAACAACTAGAAGACTTTTCATAGCGACATTATTTTCTGCAGGGTATGATACAGCAATTATTGCAATGTTTTTTATATTTCTGTGTTGAATTTAAAACATATTTTGTTGTGCTTTTTTTTTAGAAAAGAAATAATGGTGCATTTTGTCAATAAATTAAACAGATTTTAGAACTATAAATATGAGTGTGGCCGTAAATCCTCAGTATTTTCCCACTTTCCAAAGAACCCACGTTACCTTAAACCTGGAGTCAATTAAAGGTGTAAAACTGTTTGACAAGTTAAAAACTCCTAATCGTTAAAGTCTATCTGGTTCTACTTGTAAAACTTTCTCAGTACTGACATCATATCTGCAAAAACATTAAAAGGTGTATGTAGTGTTCTACATCATCGTTCTATTAATACATTTCAACCCATAACGTCTCGGCTTACTGAATAACATTTTACCGTTTTTATTGTATTTTTCAGATTCTGTGAAATTAGACCTTAATCATCCTCAGGGCACGTACCATAGCTGAAAAATAATCCCACATTGGATGTTTGGGAAAATTAAACCTTTTTAAAGGATTAGGTATAAATGCAGACGGTTTTCTATTCACGTCCTTGATGACAGATTCCTTCTTCCCTGTAATTTCAAATTATTGCAACACCTGTGTACCTGACTAGCCAGACCTGGTGTTGGAGAAAAAGATTAGCCATTCTGCACAAAGAGCAAACGTCTAAATATTACCGATCGCAGGATTTCAATAAACACAGAATTTGAAAGATTTTTTTTTTAGGCCTTTTTTAAGATATGAGGGCCGTTTAATCTCTTGGAATTGTGGTGAATTGTGAATAGCAGTGTTGGTAAAATTTGACATCCTCACTGTAGTCTCAGACTGACTGTTTTAGCCCAAATGTTGCAATTCAGTGTTTATTTCTCCACATTTCACGCTTTAACCGCCCATGTTAGATATGTTATTACTACAAAATAAAACATGTCATTTCTACAGAAGGCATCATGATTATATATTAAACACATTTTATACGGCAAACACTCCTGGTCACATTAAGTCACACTCTACACTACAGTAAGTACCATTGGTGGGGTATTCACCAATTGTGTTATGGGTACAGTAAGTACCAATGGTGGGGTATTCACCGATTGTGTTATGGGTACAGTAAGTACCATTGGTGGGGTATTCCGTGATTGTGTTAGGGATACAGTAAGTACCATAGGTGGGGTATTCAGTGATTGTGTTAGGGATACTGTAAGTACCATTGGTGGGGTATTCCGTGATTGTGTTAGGGATACTGTAAGTACCATTGGTGGGGTATTCACTGATTGTGTTAGGGATACAGTAAGTACCATAGGTGGGGTATTCAGTGATTGTGTTAGGGATACAGTAAGTACCATTGGTGGGGTATTCACTGATTGTGTTAGGGATACAGTAAGTACCATAGGTGGGGTATTCAGTGATTGTGTTAGGGATACTGTAAGTACCATTGGTGAGGTATTCCGTGATTGTGTTAGGGATACAGTAAGTACCATTAGTGGGGTATTCACGATTGTGTTATGGGTACAGTAAGTACCATTGGTGGGGTATTCACCGATTGTGTTATGGGTACAGTAAGTACCAATGGTGGGGTATTCACCGATTGTGTTATGGGTACAGTAAGTACCATTGGTGGGGTATTCCGTGATTGTGTTAGGGATACAGTAAGTACCATAGTTGATTGTGTTAGGGATACTGTAAGTACCATTGGTGGGGTATTCACTGATTGTGTTAGGGATACAGTAAGTACCATAGGTGGGGTATTCAGTGATTGTGTTAGGGATACTGTAAGTACCATTGGTGAGGTATTCCGTGATTGTGTTAGGGATACAGTAAGTACCATTAGTGGGGTATTCACCGATTGCGTTATGGGTACAGTAAGTACCATTGGTGGGGTATTCCGTGATTGTGTTAGGGATACAGTAAGTACCATTGGTGGGGTATTCACTGATTGTGTTATGGGTGCAGTAAGTACCAATGGTGGGGTATTCCATGATTGTGTTAGGGATACAGTAAGTACCATTGGTGAGGTATTCAGTGATTGTGTTAGGGGTTCAGTAAGTACCATTGGTGGGGTATTCTGTGATTGTGTTAGGGATACTGTAAGTACCATTGGTGGGGTATTCACCGATTGTGTTATGGGTACAGTAAGTACCCATACATACAGCACCAACACACACACAGCACACACACACATACAGCACACACAGCACACATATACAGCACCTACACACCCACAACACCCACATACACACAGCACCTACACACATATAGCATCCTCCTACATACAGCACCCACACACACACAGCACACTAACAGGACCCTAACAAACACACAAACACACAAACAGCACCCTCACACACACACAGCACAGAAACAGCACCCTCACACACAGCACCTTCACAAACACGCACACTACCAGCACCCTCACACACACATCACACTAACAGCACCCACACACACACACACACACACAACACCCTTACACACACAGCACCCTCACACAGCACACTAGCAGCACATACACACACACAGCAGTGTATGTATGTGTGTATATATATATATATATATATATATATGTGTGTATATATATATATATACATACATACATACATACATATACACGCGGCGTGTTTGTGCTTTAGGGTGCACACCCTAATGCAATAGGCTGCGCACGCCTATGACTGTAAGTATAATTGTTAGGGTAGTATTCAGCGATTATGTTAGGGATACAGTAAGTACCATTGGTGGGGTATTCAGTGATTGCGTTAGGGGTACAGTAAGTACCAATGGTGGGGTATTCAGTGATTGTGTTAGAAGGTATAGTAAGTGATTGTGTTAGAGGTACAGTAAGTACTGTTGGTGGGGTATTCCGTGATTGTGTTAGGGGTACTGTAAGAATAATTGTTAGGGTAGTGTGGCAAACCTAGCCACTTGGACTAAACAGAGACAATATGTTTTTAAGAGTTGCCTGTATATTCATTACAATTGTATATGTGCCTGGTTGTACTATGCTGTATCCTGTGTGCTGTATTGCCCGTATTAGCTATCTGCCGAAAGCAGATAGTCATTTTCTATTTCGTTTCACGAACAGCGCCTTTGCGGGCTGTTCGTGAACCGAATGAACTATCCTGTAATAGCCCACACACTAAGAGACGTGTGGCGCTTGTTGCAATCAGCAATTAGAGACTCTCTTAGGTGGCCGTCGTTCGACTACCGACCACGCGGCAGTCAGCCATCTTGGATCCTTTATCTCTCCAGCGGTGTTCAACCGTCGAGCGCGTGGTACTGGAAACGGCTACTCAACGGTGCGAACACCGCTGGGCTTCCAGGCCGTTCGGGAGCTCCGGTCTTTTCGGTATTTTACTCCCCGTATGCCAATCGGTCTTTTAAGCATATGTTCCAATTGCTATGTTTTTCGTGTGGCGTTCGGTTGTTTTAGCTGGGATCTGAGCGGTAATCTCACGAATTATGTGCTCAGACCCCAGCTATCTACCGAACGTCCATTCGTGTAAATCGACCAAGTATTAAGGAAGTGATACATTTTAAAGTAAATTGCTGGTTCTGCTGCATGGAGGGATAATCCATTTAATGGTATATTCTAGTGGGAGTATCCCTCTCGTGCAGCAGTGCCTGATGGGAGAAATGCCCAAAATGTGAAGTCCCCCATGTAGTCCCCTACTGTGTTACCCCTGCTAAGTCAGTATGGAAACCCCTTGCATAGGGACCTGCATTAATACTGGAGCTGCAAATAAAGACCTCAGTTGTATCCCAGAACTGTGTTTTGTCCGGTTACTGGGGATTTGGGATATTGCATTACTTTTCAGCGCTTGACTGTGGATTACTGTATGTACCAGCGGAGATCGTGGGATTTAATAGTGCCGATCCGCTACAGGTAGTATTCAGCGATTGTGTTAGGGGTACAGTAAGTACCGTTACTGGGGTATTCTGTGATTATTTCAGGAGGTACAGTAAGTACCATTGGTGTGTATTCAGTGATTGTGCTAGGAAGTACAGTAGGTACCATCTGTGGGGTATAGAGGTATTTGTATGTGGTAAGTAGCATATTTTGAAAAATTACAAAAATGGTTGTAACTATAGAAAAATAATTAGTATTTTGTCATATTTTCTTATTTTGTAACTTGCATAAATGTTTTAGTGTGTAAGTTAAGTTATTAGCTTTATAATACGTGAGTGTTGCAATGTCACATAATAAATCATTAGTTTTGTAAACATTGTTGCATTATTGTGTATTTTATATATTTTTAAAGGTGTACACCATCTGTATGTAAAGTCTCCCCAAGTTCTTATTAAGGCATTGCCTCGCGTAACCCGACCTTTTACCTCTGCTAATTCCCTTCCTTCAGCTGCTCAGGAACCACTCTAGAATATGCAGAGACCCATTTCCCACAAGTAACTGGACGAGACCGAGTTCTGGAGGTACAACACAATTTTATTGGCCACACACGGCTTTTATACATATCCCCATGCAAGGGGTCTCCCACACAACTGTACAGGGTCACATCCCAGGATCCTCCCCCTCCCTGGGGCCCTAGCGCGGGAAGGGGACTCCCTTTGTCCCCCAAGCCTGTCACCAAAATACAGGGTTTCTCACATTAGATGCCAGGGGGTCTTCTTCCCAGGAGCCTCTGTGCCTGGGAGTCCAAGCACAGGAAAAAGGGATCATCCCTTTGTCTCCCAGGCACAGAAAAGCCCGCCTGCAGTAAAAGAGCTAGTCTCTTTGTCCCTCGGGCACAGGAAAGCCCGCCAAACCAGCCAGTGCCCCAAAAGCATCCACACCAATCTCAAGGACACCCAGAACAGCTTTTTTTTCTTTTTGACTAACCTCTCTTCGTGAGGTCCCTGTGTCGAACCCAGACAAGGTAAGCGTCTCCCTTTGGGGTATGAATGCTCGGGGAATACCTGGGGAGCACTCATTAATTATTTCCCTTGTGGTTTGACACCTGCAAGTGCAAATGCTCTGATTAATTGGTGCAAACGTTCTAATGGGGCGCTGGGGAGGTCCTCGTTCGAGGAATGAATGGGCCGGGAAACAACCCACAAACTCTCCCCCTGGTTGGTGTTCGTCTAACGAAAGGGCGGCCACCAAGGGGAGCGCTCCTTAATTGTCTCCCTTGCGGTTTGCGGTTTGACACTAATGTTGCGAGGTGAGAACATTCTAACCTAACTTTCTAAATGAGATATTGGGGTGGTCCCCGTTCAGGAGGGAAAGTGGGCACAATACATGAAAACATAGGAAAATACACATATTATAAAAAGGAATCCACGAACAAGCAGGTGTTCTACCACAGGCATTTTATGAGATTAATCTACATGTTTCCTGCACTTGATTCACTTATCAGCGCTGCTCTGTTGGTTGTGGGTTGTATTCTATCAGTGAGTGGGTAAGATTGCACAACACTGTGATATGGCGGCTGTAATAATGTTTGTCCCATATGTACAGATTGAAAACTGACATTATAATATCGTGCTGGTACATGTATTGTGTTTTGGAAACTGATTGAAGTACACAGTTGGATTTTAATACCTTTTGTCTTGATATTTAATAAATGTAAAACACCAGGCCCTGGGGAGATAGCATAGCTAAGCGGACAAGGGCACATGTATGAGTGTGGGGATAGATGCTTGTGATTGGTTGTATGTGTGTATAGAAGTGGTAATGGGTTTGGGAGTGGGGTAGGGACCATCTTACCTTAGTGCCTCTTGGGAGACGGGTCAGCAAACAACTTACCCTGACTCTGTCGCCCCTGTTTGTCCTGGGCCTGTTGATTTTACCTGCTTGAGGATGGATGTGGAATCTGTCCTGTCTGCCCTCAGAGCTGCAGCTGCCCTGGATGGTGGCAGGCACCTTCGTGAGCAATTTGCTCACCTCCAGCATGGTTTTGCCGCCAGTGTGGGTTCCCCCCCACACACGCAACCTGACCTCTGCTGGGCCTCCCATGCGGCTACAGTCCCTTGGGTTTGCAGCTGAAACAGAAAGTTACAGAGAAAATTTGGAGGGGAGAATTTGTCGAGATTTTCTCCCTCCTGCTTATGGAGGAGGCCCCTCTGTTGGTGGAGAAGGACGGAAAAGAATTGAAAAGAAGACAAGGAAAAATACCGTTATCGAAAGAACCCCAAGACTTTCGGTAATTGGATTTGCGCTTTTTCTATTCTGGCTAGTGTCATTGGGGAAAAGGTTCTGCAGAAGTGCTCTGCATTGTTCTGCTACCAGGACACCATTTAGAACGCTTGTCGGACCTATGGCGGGCTGGGGTAGTGGAAATATGACAAGCAATTTCAACAACAGTTGGCAGTGCGCCCCTCGAGTTCTTGGGACCAGATGGACATTGGTCTCTGGCTCTCCATCATGACCCACCCGGAGCCCCAGCAAGGTGTTTTTTTGTCCTTTCTTGGGGGGAGGAGGCAGTGGCGGATCCAGAGCCTGATCTCGGGAGGGGCACTTGTAGATTATTTAAAGAAATAATCCAGACACAATAACAACTACAGCTCAGTGTAGTGGTTATGGTGTCAATAGTGCCGGGACCCCCTCCCAGAGTAAGTTTGACAACTTACCTGAGGTCTGCTGGGAAATGGGGCAGTAGTAGGGCATAGGAGCAGTGGTGTGTGTGAGTGGTGCAGTGTGTGTGTGTGTGTGAGGGGGACAGTGTGTGCGCAGTGTGTGTGTGAGGGCGGCAGTGTATGTGTGGGACAGTATGTGTGTGTAACAGTTGCAGTGTGTGTGTGAGTATTGCAGTGTATGGGGCGGCAGTGTATGGGGGCAGTGTGTGTATCGGGTAGTGTATGTGTGTAGAGTGTGTGTAGGGGGGCAGTGTGTGTATGGGGCAGTATATGTGTGTAGAGTGTGTGTATGGGGGCAGGGCAGTGTGTGTGTATGGGGGACAGTGTGTGTATCGGGTAGTGTATGTGTGTAGAGTGTGTGTATGGGGGGCAGTGTGGGTGTATGGGGGGACAGTATAGGGGCAATGTGTGT